TTTTATCTTTGCTACATGAAGCAAGTTTTTAACCATCTGGAGAAAACACTATGCATGTAATTTCATTTGTATGACCAATATCTGATTAATATCCTTTATTTCCATCTATATCCCATAATTTAATACTTTTATCCCAGCTAGAAGAGATTAATTATTTTTAATTAGGACTGATTGCAACTCTACGAATAATATTGGAATGAGCTTAAATTCTTAAAATTTCTTATTTATTAACTAAATTCCAAAATCTAATTGTCATATCTGCACTGCAAGAGACCAATTATTATTCATTCATTGTAAATTTAATAGCTTAAACAACATCTGAATGTCCGATCAATTTAAATAATTCCTTTTATTCCTTTATATCCCATACTCTAATTGTTTTATCTTTACTGCATGACACCAATCTCAAACCATTAGAAAAAAAATAGTACTGATCGCAATTCATGTGTATGGCCATTTAATTAATAAACTTCTTTTTATTATTTCCAATCCCATATCTTTATTAAATTATCCCCTCCTCCTAAAGCTAATAATTACCCATCAGGAGAAAACTCTATTGACCAAATCCAATCAGTATGCCCATCAAGCTTACAATGGTATTTTTCTGAGTTTTATAGATCCCAAATTATTGTTATTTTATCATCACATGATGCTATAATCTATTAATCAGGTGATATTTTCATATCAATTATTCTATATTAATGCCCAATAAATCTTCTTATTTCTTAGGATGAATTTACATCCCAAAGAATGACTATTTTATCACCTCCTCCTGATATTAAATACTATCAATTTTAAGAAAAACAAATTATTTATACATAATTAGAATGTCCTATAAATTTTCTAACTTCAACTCCTCCTTTTAAATTCCATAATTTAATTTTTTAATTATCACTTCCTGAAGCAATAAGTAATCCATCTGGTGATACTGAAATACAATTTAACTTTTTTGAATGACCATTTAATTATTAAATATTCCTTCCTCCGTGAACATTCAAAAGTCTAATTGATTTATCTTCACTACTAGATGCTAATGTTTGTCCATCTGGTGAATATAAGACACAACTTACATTATCAGTATGGCCTTCGAATTTCTATATTTCTTTCAAAGTTGAAGCATCCCATAATCGGATAGTGCAATCCAAACCACCTGATGCTAGAGTATTACCATCAGGGGAAAATGAAATTGGATATATTTTTCCAATACCCTAATCAATTTTCATAATCATTTTTTCCTGGTTTATATCCCATAATCTAATGGTCTCATCTTCACTTCCAGATGCCAAGATATTTTTATTTGGATTAAATGAAAGTGAATAAATAAAATCTGAATGACCTAATAATTATTTAATTTCTTTTTTTTCTTCAATATCCCATATTCGAATTATTTTATCATTACCTCCTGAAGCCAATAGATTGATAGTTGATGAAAATACAAGATATCTAATATAACTTTCATGCCCAGTAAGGAAACCAATATCCTATAAAGAGACGACATCATACAAAAAGATTAATTTATCATCTCCTCCAGTTGCTAATATTTTACCGTTAGGAGAAAATGCTACAGTAACCACTTATCCAAAATGTTTAGAAAATACTTTGAGTGGTTATGAATGATTTATTTTCCATAAAATAACAACTCCATCTTAGTTATGTGCAGAGCTATCTATCTGGAGAAAATGCTAATTACCATACTGCACCATAATTAGTATCTAATCTTAGTAATTAAGTCTCTTAATTTACATGCCATAATGGAATAGTTTTATCGTTGTAACCTGAAGATAAAAGAATTTTTATAAGGA